AAGAAGCAGTGTATATTCTTCATTCTCTCTTTTCCTATCTACTAACTGGATGTAGAAGACTCTAGGGGGTCTAGCAAGCACAAAATCACAAAGTGGAAGGAGCCTGGGCCCATGAATCACAACTTGAAGAAAATCACACTTCAACCAAGTTTTATATCATCACAAAATTACTCAGAGAAACACATGTATTATAAGTCTCTAAAATTCTGAGGTTTTTTTCATCAGCTAGAGTTACCCAGATCAACAGAGAAATTGGTGCCTTGAAATGGGGTGCTGCTGTGACAAAAATCTCAGATGTGTGGAATTAATTAATGATCAGGAAGCAGGCATCAGGGAAACAACTAGCAGAGGCTGGTAAGATGAAATAGCGGTAAAAACATTTTTCAAGTATTACCTTCAATAACTTGGAAAGCAGACCAAAAACCTGTAAGCTTGTAACTCTACAACCATGGTTATCAACTGGGGATGATTTTGCCCCCTGGAGGACATTTGGCAATGACTGAAGACAGTAAAGCATCATGAAAATTTTAGTTATTTTTCAAGACCAACTCAATTGTTATGACTTACTCCTCCTATCAGATTATACTACCTTATGTCACTCATATTAGTCTTGTATATGCACTCCATCAGAATGTGACACAATTCATTCTTTTTTTTTACATTTGTCTCCTCTTCTCTATTATGTCTAATGTAGTCTAATCCATGTATCCCATCTATTGCCTAGAATGTCTTACACACAGAAACAATACAATTTGTGTTTGTTGAGTACACATTTGTTGAATGAATATATACTATTCTTCAAAGCACTGATTCTATGGTCCTTGATCTCATAGTCCAGTATTGAGATACACATCAAAAAATCACTTCACAATACAAGTCTTACAGAATCTGAGGTCTTACAGACACTAGTTTTCACATTATTAGGTGTTCCCAGCGACTGCTACCCTCTGGGCATTCTTTCACCCCCAACTTCTAATTGCATGTGACTAGTTACTGTGTAAACTTGCCAGCTGCCTTAAATAGGGAAAACAGTTAAGAGTACATTTCTAAGGAACGTATTCGGTCTAAAGAGTTTGAATGATAGTCTTTTAAGGAGGTTAAGGGTTGGAAAATAAACTCAATTTTAGTACTCGAGTAGTAACAAGGGTACGAAAAACAGAAACCACTATGGCTATCCATAGGAAGAAATGGTCAGAGGCAAGGGCATCAGGAAAGGCTAACTAAGGAAGGTGATATATATGTATATATAGAGAGAGATAAGAAAAGATAAGTATCTACTTTGATATTACAGACCAATATAGATTAGCTTAATTTGGCACTGTTAAAAACTCCTTAGCGCATCTAGTTGGCTCTGACATTGGGATGCTAATGGACAGTTTACTATAGATGGAAAGCAAAACAATTTAAATTTCCCTTCCAGACTGAAATACTGCTTCTCAATTGAAGATACAAATCTGGACTTCAGGGTGACTGGAGACAGATTTGGGATCATAAGCATGCAGGTAATGGAAATGGATGAAGTCACTCAGGAGTAGTAAAAACCAAAAAAAGAAAAGCTGAAAATGTAGAGGATATACAGAGTAGAAGCCACTGAAGGAATAAGCAAACTAAATCATTATGGTTTCCTCACATAATCCATATCACATTATGTTGGCTGTTTTATATGAGTTTACAATTAAACCAGATGGCTTTGTTTTTTCTCAAATATATTATTTTTTCCACCTTGATTTCAAGATCTTTAGTACATGAACCACTCTTCCCCGTCTTTATATTTTCCTAAACACATCACCTCCAGTAGTCAATGAACTTTTGATTCACTGAATTTAAACCTGGCAAGGAATTCCACTCCTTTCACTCATCCACCCCCCAAAAGCCCAAATCTCTCATAAAAGGGAAATTTCTAAATTCCTGCATCAACCTCTGCAGGTAATCCTGCCCTCACAACATTCTTGGCTACTAAGAGTGTGGGTTTAGAGAAACATTATTCAGTTGATCAAGGCTCATCAATGGGAAAACCTGGTAAGACTAGAGAACATGATCCTATGGCTAATTTCTTAATAAAGCAATAGAAAGCCAAAGAGCTTTCGGTGGGGTATTGACGGAAGAGGCATTAGAAACTAAGACTTTATGACTTTGGGGCAGATATGGTACTCAAACAGCTTCTGGTGTCATCCACCAAACGGTCCCAACTACTGATCAAATGCATTCAAGTTGGTGCTGACGGCTTAACATTCCAAAGGTGAATAGGAGAAAAGCAGAGATTACAGGGACCATATACGAATGAGCAACACATACCAGTAACCTGGAACTAGGATGTAAAAATTCACATCATTACAAAACAAACCTCCCGGTAGGCCACATTTCCTTTTAATTTTCTTCTTCTCATCTAACCCCCCCCTCTTTTATTTGAACCTAACGGTCATTCTCTTCACCATATCATCTCATTTGGGGGTTTATTTTTTCCCCCTTTGATCTGTATGGATCTGAGTGTATACATGCTAATGTGCCTTTGGTTGTAGTGGTTTACAACAACTTTGTGAAGGCAAGACTTTCATGTTGGGACTATACTGTGCCAACTCTTCAATTCTCTTTGAGATTACCTCATGAACTAAAGAGAAAGGTTTGCATGAATTGTTTTCCCAATGGTGGGTTTTAAATTGCTGAAGTGAGAAAGGATACTCACTGAGCACAGCTAACCAGAAATCAAAAAACAGATGATCCCAATTTCAAATGCTATTAGGCTGTGGATAAACAGGGAAATGGAGAGTAGTGCAAGAGGAGGGCTAACCTCATAAAAGGGTAAAAGGAAAGGGCAATTGCTACCACAAGTGCACTGAAAAATAGATAAGTAAATTCAGACACTGGTGGCAGGTGGCGGAAGAAGGTGGCAAGGAATAAATCTTGAAGATTGGAAAGGTTAAGAGGTTAGCCTAGGTTGGATAAAATAAATGTAGGCTCTGGCATCAAATACCTGGGTTTAAATTCTTACCTGTAGTGAAGTGATCTTCAGCAATTAAGAGTATGATCTGAGCATCAGTATTTCCACCTAATTCATAATTTTAGGGTTACTGATATAAATACACTGCTTAGAACACAACATGGTATTGAGTAATTGGCAGCTTTTGTAATTATGTTTAAGGATAGAAGAGTCCAAAACAGAACTTTTAGTTTACCATTGTTGGCAGCTTTCAGAAAAGAGAAAATAGCTACAAACCAAAGAAAGAAGAGCCAGTCTCTCACAGGAGAATGAGTCACAAGATTCACACTCAAGGCCACAAAACAGTGAACCTTTTACTAGATATTAAAGTTTAAAACCACACAGCTTAACAGTAATGTTAATTTTACCACTAGGTGGCAATGATACAGCTGAATTTCACTGACAAGGTTAATTTTAAAAACAGTGAGCAATTCCAGACAGAAATTCCAAGAAGCTTTTTAGTAAATATTTTCATTTTAGAAAAATGAAAAAAAAATTTATATACAATTTAATTTATAGCAAAATGTGTGATTATCTGATTCAATATGTATGTTAACTTCTGAGGCAATTCATGCAACAAATACAATTTTTAAACAGTTCTGGTTACAGTTAAGTCTTTTTAAAAAACCTAGACATATATCATGAAGAGAACAGAAATCATGGAAAGCTACAAGTATTTTTGAAGCTTTAGAGTTCTAAGAAAGTCATTATAAAATGCAAAGTATTTCAATGAAAAAGTTAAACCTTTCAAAAATGACTGATAGAGAACAATTTTTTTTTTTTTAATTTAGGGCCAAAATATGAAATAATATGCAGACACTTTGCTTTTAAATTACAAATGAAATTAATATTCATATAGGTAATATCTTTTCAATGTCAAATAAAACTACATTGTTAAGCAAGTTTATCAAAATTCTAATGAATTCAGGAATACCTTTTTACAAATGTTAAAATAATAAATGATGAAATTCCTTAGAATCTGCACTTTCCATAATTATTTCTGCTTTCTTCATAAAACAGATAATTTACAGCTTATTAAAAATATTTTATTCATTTCTTCTTTTCATATCAAATAAAAGGAGAAGGTATGACGAACTTTTTCAAATTATAGACATTTTCAAGTGCATAGTAAAAAAAACAAAAAACAAAAAACTCAAATACCCAAGATATTCCCTCACATATAGGGTGGGAGCTCACATCACATGTAACATTATAAAATCTGTACTATAATTAGATGAATAAATAATAAACCTATACTCTTATCCAATTAATAATATAATTTTTAAAAAGACCCAATTAAAACGAGCCTATTTATTCCCTTTGTATAAATAACCTAACGTTCCCTAAATTTTCAACTCCCAGTTTCTACATATCTTATATATAAGATTTCCAATAGTTTTCTAATTTAGCAATCACTTCCTATATTTACTTTACTTCCAGAAAAATGTCCCCCCCAAACAAATGTAAGAAAAGCATGATTTCTAAGTTATTTTAATTCATAGATCAGTTTCCCCTTCAATTTGAACTTCATTTTGAATTATTATAGATCACCCTGAAATCTAACAATATAGATATTTCTCATTCCATCAGTGTATACAAATATACAAAACAAACAACAACTTAAGATGGTTAGCACAAAGAAAGATTACTGTGGCAGCCCTCACAAATCAAACAAAAGATTTCAGGAAACTGCTCAATCTGTTCACTGTTACCTGTAACTTCTGCTAGAAAATTTATGGAATGCCACTGTCATGGAAGGGATAATTGTAGATCTACAAAAGTGAATACATACGTATGTGTGATTTATACCTATACAGAATCAGCTTCTGATTATCTACACAGATAAAGGGACAAGAGACAGATGCTGCAAAACACATAATCCTCAAACCACTTCAGATACATTTTTCATATCTGTATTTCACAGGGCTGTGTCTGAGAATTCAGAACACAAGAAAATTACGCCATACTGCAGAGATCAAAAGTTACACATTACCAAAACAATGGTAATGGTGATATGCCATTACTAACTTGACTTTGTCATCTTCTGTTTATTTCTGATGGTGGCTCGAAGTTTACGTATCACCAGTCTATCAGGCAGAATCATATCACCTTGTTGTTCTAGATAATCCAATAAATTTTCAGTCCATTGGAGAGCAGCTGAATGATTAATATGTTTCTCTGGAATCAGTTCTATTTCCTCCTCCTCATTTTCACTGGATTCGTCTGTCTGGCCTTGTGCTCTTCTGATGATTTCACTGTCAGTTAAGACTTCATAGCCTGGTTCAGTACTGTCCACTTCAAGCCATTTTTCAACGTTCTCAGGAGTCACATTTTCCAATCCTTTGGTGTGTTGTAAAATGGTAGCCACAGCAGCCACTGAGATATCTTCTTCATCAAAGTCCAGGCTTTCTTTTTCCTCTATGGTAGGCAGAATCTTCTTCCATGCTCTGCTAATGGTAACTGGCTTTACTAAATTCCATGCCATTGCTATTTCATAAAGTGCATCTAGCAGAGTTAGTTTCTTCCAGAATGATCTCAGGTCATTGCCTTCTTCCAAGTTGTTCTGGAGAAGACCTGCACGATAGTTTCTCTTCATTGTAACTATGACTCCCTGATTTGAGGGCTGAATCAACGAAGCCACATTAGGTGGTAAATATTTAGCAAATATTTGGCCATCATCTGACCTCAGGACATTTTCATTTGGATGTGTTGGTGAATTATCCAACAAGAGCACAGCCTTTTCTTGCAAGCCTTTGGATCTTAAGTGCTCGCGAACTTGTGGCACAAAGATCTTATCAAACCATTGTCGGAAAATGGAAAGATCCATCCATGCACCTTTTTGGCTGAAATAAGAGACTGGCAGGTTTGAGGTGTCAGTTGACTTGAAGGAGCGAGGTTTCTTTGCTTTCCCCACCACACAAAGCTTAAGTTTGTGTAAACCTGTTGCATTGGCACAACACATGATAGTGACTCTTTCTTCAATTGACTTGTGCCCAGGGGCTGTGCATTTACCTTTGATTACTGAAGTCCTGGAAGGCAAGCATTTCCAAAACAGTCCAGTTTCATCTGCATTGTAGATCTGTTCCGGTTGCAAATTCTCTCTTTCAATAAAGTCTCGAAAGTTGTTGCAAAAATCTTCCACAGCTGTCTCATCTCCACTTAATCTTTCGTTTCTAATATTAATCTCTCTAATGCTGTGCCGCTGCTTAAAACGAGTTAACCAACCAGCAGAGGGGTTAAAATCACCATCCATTCCCAAAGCATAAAAGAAGAATTCTGCCCTTTTTGCACAAATTGGTCCAGACACGGGATTCCCTTTTGCTCTTTGCTGGTTGAACCATTCCAGCATTGCTCTGTCCAGTTCCTCATACATGGATGGCTTCATAGATTTCCTCTTGGCCAGAAGACTTGTGGAATCAGAACTGCTTGCGTAAGTTATAATCTTTTCCTTATTTTTTCTTATATCCCGAACTGTTGTCTCGCCAATTCCATAAATCACTGCCAGTTGTTTGGAAGAACCTCCATCTTCAAGTTTCTTTATTATATCAAGCTTATCTTTAATAGTTAACACAACACGCTTCCGTTTCCCTGACATGGTGAGGCTCTGGGACTCAGGGACTCACCCCAGACTCACACAGAAGCAGTCCTCTAAATCCTGCCTTCTCTCACAGACTCACTTTAACACAGCCTTACACACTCAGTCTTTCAACCTTACCAGGCACCTGGTGGCCCTGACCCCTTCCCTGGCTGGGCTGGGCTGGCAAAGAGACGGCAAAGGACGATCAGGGGGGCGGAAGTCTGAGAGAACAGGCCTTTAACTTTAAATGGGCAGTACAGGAGGCCCCAAGTCACCGCGGATAATCCGGATTACAAACATTTGTTTTATTCCCCCAGTGGCCGCGAGAAAGACTATAACCCCATCGTGACCACAAGCCTCTTTCACGCCCAGATCCCGGGTCAACGGCCGTCACTAACCCCCGCCACACCCCAAAGTTACAGCAGAGAGCGGAAGAGCCAGGGAGTCGGGGACTGGCCCCATTCCCCAGGGGGACAGTTACGTTGGATTCCTTCCCCAGCAGTCAGCCCCTTCACCGCAAGCCCCACTTCCCCGCGTTGGCGTACTTAGCCTACACAGTCCTCCCCGTTCCTCACTGCCCGCCGAGCCCCCTCTCCCCACCTCAGTTGGAAACAGGACCCCGTAACTCTCCCTGCCTAACGCGCGGCAACCGCTCCTCCCCCGACCAAAAGCTCCCGGAAACGCCCCCTCCCACCGCCGGCCCCGCCCCTAGCCCCTCCCAGAGGCGGGACTTCCCCCCCGTCCCCGGAAGGAGGAGGAGCGTTGTCAGTCTGGACTGGGTACCTGGGCGGAGGCAAAGGTGGAGGCGGAGGCAGAGGCGATTTGGAAGGTGAGGGCGCGGGTACGGTGCGGGCAAGCTTCCAGCTGCTAATGGTTTATTAGAAGGGCGGGGATAAAAAATTCCGCCGGCGCTCTCGGGGTAAGCGGGACGGCTCCCCTCCGCGCGTCGCTCCACTTGCGGGCCGCCGGGGCAGAGCTGCAGTGGGCGGGGTGCCAGTTACTTCCGCGAAGGGGAAGTGGGCAGAGCTGATGCGCGGGGCTCCGCGGGTAATTTCGCGGGTTTCTGGCTTTTCCAAATCCTTGTTTGTTTTCTGGGGACCGAGCTCCTCTAAGGTCCGGGGGTTTGTGACGTCCCGTGCACGTCATCGCGAAGCTCTGTCATAGGGTCCCGTTTTTTAGCTACGGTGCCTCCTCCCTCCTGGGGGTGAGTAGCAGACGGGCCGGCGATCTGCGCCAGGTATCTGCGTCCCGCCGAGGAGACAGGTTTGTAATCATGAAAATGACTGTGGCGTTAACTCCCGAGGGGCTCTGTTCCTTCCTAGGCCCCTCATCCCTGCTGAATTTAGCGAACCATCTTCAATGTTACAGATTTTAATTAATACTATAGTTGTCGGAGATGGCAAAATGGCAGGATCCACTCTATGCGAAATTGTGGAGTACTAAACCGTGAATCTAGGGGACATTGGCTTTCCTCCCTTTATGTTTTTCATATTTTCCTATTTCCCACTTCTGTTTTGTTGTGCTGCCCTGTTTTCCAGCCATTGGAAGAACTATGATAAATTTATTCACAGTAATGCGATAAGAACAAAAAAAGAATCATATTCTGTAGCCCTTAAATCAGGTATTACGCTGGCTTGTTTTGGTGTTCCAAGTAATCTCGTCAGATTGTGAGCTCCTTGGGAGCAGAGACCGTGTTGTTGAATTCTAGAAACGCCACAGCTCCGGAGCATGTGCTGGCGCATAGTATACATTCAATGACTGTTTCTTTGGTTTATTAAGGTTTCCTCTCCAAACTGTCATATAAAAGGAAACATCAAGAGGGGTAATGTTTTACAAATAGGATGCATCCCTTCTGGTGGAATTTCAAGTAATGGCTGGGGTTCCACCGCCCTTCAAATTTTTAAGTGTAAACTACCACCTACATTGTTCATAGGGCAAGTCAGTGATTCCTAGAATGAATCTTTTCTTGATGAATTAACCTCAAAGTCTAGAATAAAGGATATTTCTTCTGATGAGAAATTCATGTGGCATCAAAGTACCCTTTTTAGTTGTAGAGTTACCATGCTAGAGAAAGAACACAAGCCTTATGGGTTATTGCCTTGACATTCTTTGGCAGACAGGATAGTATGTGCTATTTACATGATTTTAACCATGAAACCCAAAGATGTGATAGTATTGATCATCTTCATTCACTTATTTAATGCTCTCTGTATGGAGTCCCTGTTTTTCTCTTTGCCTAAAGGTAAGGTATCATTAAAGAAGCTTGATAAAACTTTCATTTCAAAAAATTGATTGTATACTCAGCATATATAGAAATTACATCCATTTGCATGGATTATTATCTGAATGAATTATAATGATCAAGAGATGTCTTACCCATCAGCCTGGCTTTATCTTCTCATTTCTCTCCTCAGGTTCAGTTCACTCAGCTTTTCCCTGTCATCCTTCTTTCCTCCCCAGCTCACGCAGTAAAAGTATCCACACTTAAAAAGAGGAGCCAACCATAATCAAATTATCTTCCTTTTCAATGACAGATTTTTTGACATTATTGATATAAACAGCAATTTTGAAATATGAGATGCCCTGGAAATTTGGCAGTTAGCCAAATGAAATTTGATTTGTTTACATAAAATTTGCCTCCTCAAACATTCAGTACTGCAGCTTTCCAAAATAATTTTTTTCTCATCAGAGACTGCCTTTCTTTGGAATCTTTACTTTTTGACTCAGTGGGGAATCCCTTAAATTTTGTGGTCAGTGTCATCAGTAAGGTGGTAGAGGGAAGTCTGCAAATTTTCATCTCTTTTGCACATTCTTTTCTTGCCTGTTAGATAAATAATTTACAGAAGTTTCTGGCGTAATTCATGTGCACTAAAATTCAGTTACATAATTTAAAAAACATGTTTGTAAACTCTTAGTCAAACTATTTTAATGATTATTTTCAGAAACTAAAATTTAGTCTGAATGAGAGATAAAATAACGAGTTTTTGAAGGCATAACTTTTCCTACCTTGTACAAATATAATATTGGCAGCATTCATTGTGTAGCACTGGATGGGGAATTAGGAGACCTGCTTTCTAATCCCTGCTTTGTCACTAACGAGCTGTGTGATCTTCGGTAAGTCATTTAAACTCTACGTCCTTGGCTTTGATTTTTATAAATGAAGATAGATAATATCTTCCTTTTAGGATCATTGTCAGGATTTTAAAATATATTTCAAAATGTACTGAAAATTATTATACATATAGCGTTTTTTAATAGCTTAACTCTGTGCAGTCATAGGTGTTTGAATAGTGTGACATTCTTAATCATTTCTATTATTGTCATAGGAATCAGCTCTTGAAATGATAACTGTCTTTTGCACATGGTATAGTTTTGTAAGATAATCATCTAGTGTGTATGAAACTGCTTTTGAGTACTGATAAAATCATCTTTCACTTTAATATTCCTCCTGTCCATACTTTAGTGTATCTGCTGAGGCCATATCTGTCTTTTGTTTTCATAAACTTGTTTTCATTACTTCTCCCAATTCAGACAGATTTATAAAAAAGCCTTACCTTCTTATTGTAGTGTAAACCACATGCACAGTTAGCTTATGCAAATTTATAACTATATATGCTTAAAAAATACTTCTTTGTATTATATGACTTCAAAATATAACCTGCCGAGTTTATCTGGTGTTTAATAAAAAGAAAAAAAACAGTAATCTGTTTAAAACCTGAAAGAGAAACTGGGGGGACATATTTTGCAGCAGTATGGTATACAATAATCCATACTTTGAAGATTAATATAGAGATCTTTAAAAAGAGTAATTTTGACCACACACAGTTTTATTCTTTGCTGATTTTAATATGAACCTTCTGTAAAATGCAACCTAAGTGTAATTTCAAATAGCAGAATATTTGGTCTATGGACTGGGATTTGGTAGATCGCTGTTACAGTGCTAAAGGTATCTTGTAGCAGTTACTGTCATAAGGTTGCCTACATTATAATTTCTTGTGTATAATCTTAGCAACTGTTGTTCTGATTTTATATGAGTTGTTACCATTATAGAAGCAGTCACATTGCCTTAGAAACATAACAGAACTTGTACAATGAAATGGGTGGTATCTCCCCCCCAACTAAAAAGATAATCATCTTGGGAAGCTATAAACTGGGTTCAGTAACACTGCCATTGCTCAAAAAATTTCTGGTTTTGGAATTACCATCAGAGTTTGCAGCACATTAAAAAAATATCTTTAATAGTAGTTAATCTTCATCTTTTCAAATTGCCTTTCATTTCTGGAAGCTGGTAACAGTCCCTTATAACTAAGACAAGTGAATAAAGTGGATATTTAAATGTCTCTCTGGGATAAAAAATGAAGTGTGATTATTTTCATATTTTTTGAAAATAAAATAGAAAATCTCCAGAATATTCTGTGCCATCATGGAAATATTGGAACAATCAACCTCATAATGTGATTTCTTTGAAGGAGACAGAACTCAATTGAATACATAAGTTCTTTTTTTTTTTTTTTTTTTTTTTTTTTTTTTTTTTTTTTTTTGTTTTTTGTTTTTTGTTTTTTTGCGGTACGTGGGCCTCTCACTGCTGCGGCCTCTCCCGCTGCGGAGCACAGGCTCCGGACGCGCAGGCCCAGCGGCCATGGCTCACGGGCCCAGCCGCTCCGCGGCATGCGGGATCCTCCTGGACCGGGGCACGAACCCGTGTCCCCTGCATTGGCAGGCGGACTCTCAACCACTGCGCCACCAGGGAAGCCCAATACATAAGTTCTTATATGTGTATTATGAGGTCAGTCTCATTGCATCATGATCATATTTCTATTTTCCTTAGCAACCACAGAAGTACATATATGTTACCATTTTTCTAGTTAAGTTGTCTCTAATTGTTCTTTTACTGTATACTTGTGATAATTTTGATGGAGTTCACCCTTTTCTGAATCAGGAACTTAGATCATTTGTTTTCCTTCCCAATACCATGCTCTGCTTCGCCATGAAACTTTTTTGTTTTTTCACCTATGTTATTGGATTGTTAGTAAGTTTTCTATTGGATTATATTGTATCTTTAACTTTTAATGGATTAAAGCCATTGCCATTTTACCAAAATATATGGAGGCTGAAATCTTGGTAGATAAGTTATCACTCAGTTTTGCACTGTTATCTATTTTATGTCACTTAGTACTTTATAACTTTCTTCATATAAATGTTTAACTTTTATGTTATAATTCATGTAATTTCTCTATTTAGAATCCTTCTTTGCTTATGGGACGAATCATTCTGTAATTCCACCCTACCTTTCTATACTGGTCTCTATTTTCCAGCATAAAGCCTTTTTTCACACCTTTTTGGTCACACTTATTTACCAAACATGGCATGTTCATTTTCAGTGCCAAAGTTTTGACTTTATCATTTTTTCCTGAAATCCCTTTGTCTTTCATTCTTTCTGTTCAAATTTAATCAATTCTTCAGCGGTCTGTCAGATCATATCTGTTCAATAAAATTTTCAGTGAAACACTTGATGTTCTGATCTTCCTGCATCTTTACACTTTTATTGCAGTTATTTTTTTATCACTCATTTGGTACTAAATGAATACTACCTTGCATTTTTCTTAATTATGAACCTCTATCAGCACAACATACAACATAATTCAGAATAGATGTTCATATGATGATTTCATAGATGTTCAATAAATTATTTGTTCCATAATTTGTCATGCAAATTATGCAACCATCTTCACTCAGATATTTCATGTGATTTTACCTTTGTGAACCATTTAATAACACCAAATAAATACAGTTTGTACCATAAATGCTTTCATTGTTGTAATCTGGTTATCATTATTATATTCCTAATAACTTTATTTTGTAGAAGCTTAAGTGAAAATGGTACATATTAGAAGACATGAAACAAGGAAAAATTCTAAAACTCAAGAGTGTGAACAGAAATCTCGAGTGGATTGGAGGCGGACTAAAAGAAGTAGTCTCTCACAATTATGTGATAGTGATGATGAGCTTGAGAGCGATGAGGAGCTTGATAGTGATGAAAGTGTTGACAATAATGAAAGTGTTGACAGTGACAAAGAACCTGATAGTAACGAGGGGCTTGATAGTAATAAGAAGCCAGAAAATGAAAGAGAGCTTAAATTAATTAAAGTTGAAAGTGAAGGAAACAATAGTAAGCATCTCATTAACACTGGCAACAGTTCAACCTATGAAGAAGAAAAGAACAAAACCAAACATGGAAGTATTGACTTACCAGATCATGAAAAGCATTCAGGTCAAGAGGAAGATGATCTCAACAAACACTCTGGACAAATAACAGAGGAGGATTTAGAAGAAGAACGCATCAAGCGAGGGAAGAGAAAAAGGATCTCCTCTGTGATGTACGACAGTGATGAAAGTGATGACAGTGATATCCTTGTTAGAAAAGTGGGAGTTAAACATCCGCGTAGAGTGGTTGAAGATGAATGTTCTTCAGTGGAGATGGAGCAAAAAGAACCTGAAAAAACTTTAGCCGCAAGAAAGCGAGAACAGCTCCAGAAACTGCAAGACCTCTCAAAACAGAGATCTCGTCAGAGACGCAGTAGTAGTAGAGATTTTGAGGTGTGTTACATTTTATTGGTTTTGTTACTGTTTTTAACTTTTTATTTAAGTATTTTATAAAAATCAAAGGGCTGAATCTGTTCTATTTCACAGTAATTCTAAAATTTATTTTTTAGTCAAGTTTCCTTGAACATGTTTGATTGCAGTATTGTATCTAATAATATTTTTTATGAGCCTCATTCTTTCACTCTTTTTTAAAATTGAAAGACTTCTTTAAAATTTGGTCTTTCCTGTTTTTAATTTCTACTTATAATCTTAATGTTGATTTAAAACATTTTATTTCACTTACCAGGGTATATTATCTTCTTCCTAATTTCAAAAGTTCAACATTTAACATGACAAGATTTTTTTAACCTTAAAATATAAAATTAATTTCTACAAATCATTTTTTTATTTCGGATTTAATCTTTTAATTTCACATCCATACTGACATTTTTTTTTTTTTTTTTTTTTTTTGAGGTACATGGGCCTCTCACTGTTGTGGCCTCTCCTGTTGCGGAGCACAGGCTCCGGACACACAGGTTCAGTGGCCATGGCTCACGGGCTCAGCCACTCCGGGCATGTGGGATCCTCCTGGACCAGGGCACGAACCCATGTCCCTTGCATCGGCAGGCAGATTCTCAACCACTGCGCCACCAGGGAAGCCCCATACTGACAATTTTTTAAAGGTACACTTTACTAAAAATACTAAAAGGTATGTTTTAATTTAATTAGGACTCTGAAAAGAAATCCTGCCCAAGCAGTGATGAAAATGATGATGAGGAGGAGGGGGAGGAGGAAGATGATTATGAATATGATGAAGATGGAGATGATTATATTATTGATGACTTTGTAGTGCAAGATGAGGAGGGTGATGAAGAGAATAAAAGCCAACGAGGAGAAAAACTGAAATTAGTAAAACAGAATTCTCTTTGTAAGTTAAATATCAAGAGAATGTTTTATGACTTGTTCTAATCATGATGTTATACTAAGTATCAAATCAGCCTTTTACTATTATGTTCTAAATCATCTGTTAGGAACTGTGGTTTCATTTTCAGGTAAATTTGTCTAATAGTTTATTTTAGTGGTTTTGAGAACCCTTTACACTCTTAAAAATAACTGAGGACCCCAAAGAGCTTTTGTTTCTGTGGGTTATATCTATCAACATTTACCATTGTAGAAATACAAAAGAGAAATTTAAAATATATCTATTAATTAAATGACTTAAAATAACTCATGTAATATGATAAGCTCGTTAGATAACATTTTTCTGAAAAATAACTATTTTTCAAACAAATGAGAAGAATGGCATTGTTTTACATTTTAATAAATATATTTAACGTCTAGCTTAACAGAAGGCAACTGGGTTCTTATATCGGCTTTTGCATTCAGTCTGTTGTGATATTTTGTGATATTAGATGAAAGCAATTTTGTTTCACACAGGTAGCTGGAAAAGGGAGGATTGTTTTTAAAGCATTTTGAAAATAATTGTGGATATTCTCATTTGACACCACACCAAAATTCAACAAGTGGTAGTTTCTTAAAGGTTTGTTTTCAGTATGGAATGTGAAAGACATTGGTCTTTCTTGTAATTTGAATGGATCTTTTACCCATGCATGATTTTGTAACATCATGCACTGATCATTTGGAAAATATTGGTTCACTGGGTTATGTAGCTCTTCCATATTTTGACACATTTCACTATACAGTATTTAAGAAATCACATTCATTAATATCACCACCAGTCTCATCAGAAAATTTTTTAGGTATTGGGAAGCTGTCAAGCTCATAGTAACAAATACAAGTTTTTCAAAATTATAATTTCTACTCAAAAATCTGTTTTTTATCTTTGGTAACAAATACTGTGAGTTCTTGAAATGACAGGTTTCTCTTTGCTCATTTTTGACAAAATATTTGACAGATGCCTGAATAACATAGTTGGTCAATAGTTCTCTCAAGTAAACATCGTGTTTCAAGTAAACCTGACAAATGAGGCTTTTTTAACTCCCAACTCAGTTTTTTCTCAAAGTACGATATTACACTTGATATGCAGCACAAGTGCTTTATCCATACTTCCCATTTCATCTCACTGAATACAAAAAAGGTGTATACTCAAGATTCAAGATTTAATAAAAGTAATAATTTTTACTGCTTCATCAAGGACATTCTTAAGTGAAAGTAGGTTTTTTACTGAATGCATAGGAATGATTATAATGATTACTAGTAGTTTGGTTCTATAGCCCTGATTCATGTTAAGGGGTCAGCTGCCTTATCCATAGTTACTTTTGCAACATCATTGAAAATGTCAACATGGTGAAACAGCAGATAATTATCTTAGTGTTATTGCTTTAACCTCACTGATCCCCTTAAATGGACTAGGAGACTTCCAGGGGTCTACAGATCACACTTTGAGAACCACAGGTGTTATCTGATCTTTTGAAGTGTAACTCAGTGAAACCTATCAGGAAATTAGAATCTTTTATATTTTCACACAATGAAAATATAAATAATAGGGCCCTGTAAACTTAGGGTGTCTTTAAATATGTATTATTATTCTGATCCCTATAATTGTACCTAAATTTAAAGACTTTTTTATGATGTTTTACAACTCTGGTACAACTCTGTTGGATGAAAACATTTTTTTTCTTCAAGAATGCATTTTTTCCAAAAAAAAATTAAAGGGCATATTTACTGAAGTTAAGTGTAATATGGTTCAAATTAGATACCATGATTTAGATAAATTAGTAGATTTAAGTATGAATCAAATTTCAAGAAATTTATCAGTTACAGAAATACCAGTGAAAAGCATCTGTGTATTGAAAGTTAATGACTGTTTCCCTTATGTCAGTAGGCACTGGTTCACCTGCCATCTGGACCTTTGATTCCCAGGAAAACTCAATTAGGAAGTGTCCCATCATTCTGGATATTAATATCTAGAATGTGATAGAACATTTACTGAGAGATACCCACTCATAAACACTCCTGTTAATTAATGAAAATAAGAGTCCACCACATGGGAACTATTTTAACTTTCTTCTCTGTCCTACACTTTTATGCTTACTTTTGTTTTTTTAAGGGAGGTTTTAGATTTACTGAAAAGTTGAGTAGAAAGTACAGAGAGTTCCTATATAACCCCTCATTCAGAGTTTCCCTGTTATTAACATCTTGGATTTGTTTGGTACATCTGGTGCAATCAAAGAGCCAATATGGATACATTATTAACTAGTTCATAGTTTGTGTCAGTGCTCACTCTTTGTGTTGTACATTCCATGGTTTTGAGAAATGTATAATGATGCAACAGGTATCCACCATTACAATATCAGAACAGTTTCACTCTCCTAAAAACACCTTGTTCACCACCTACTCATCCCTCCCTCCCTCCCACCCCAGAACCCCTATCAACCACTGACCTTTGAAATGTCTCCATAGTTTTCCCTTTGCCAGAATGTTTTATAGTTGGAATCATACAGCATGTAGCCTTTTCAGGTTGGCATATTTCACCTAATAACGCATTTAAGTTTCCTCCATGTCTTAATGTGCATGATAGCTCATTTCTTTTTATCACTGAATAATATTCCATTGTATGGATGTACCACAGTTTGTTTATCCATTCACCTGCTGAGGGACATGTTGGTTGCTTCCAAGTTTTGGCAGTTATGAATAAAGCTGCTATAAATATTTGTGTGCAAATTTATCTATGGACATAAGTTTCCAGGTCATTTGGGTAAATATCAAGGAGTTCTGTGCTTGCTTTTATTATTGAGCATCTCCACCTTAGAAGGAGATGTACCTCATTTTTTATGCAATACATTTTATCTTCTGTGTTCTTAATTGAAGCTTCTTCTTCTGGCTCTATCCTTACAAGCTCTCTTTTCTCAATTTGTAACCATATTAATGCCTTTCCTCCTTTGAGTTGGCATGTTCTATTAGCCACCATTCTAAATCTTATCTTTTTGTTCAAGTCTCCCAGTAACTCTGCAAAGCATTGTGCTTAGACTATTATACCCATCAATCCAGTGAAATTGCTCTCATCGAAGTTAGTGATAACTTTTTAGTTGCCAAGATGCACTTTGGTTCTTATGTTAACCAGATACTGCTGTGTGCTTTGCCACTAACCATTGACAACTCTCACTTTCAAAATTCTCTTTTTCACTTCTTGCATTCTCCTTTATAATATTACTTTCCTCTTTTTCCATTTGGCATGTAAATATTGATGTTTCTAAAGGTTCCATCCTCAAACTACCTTCATTTTGCTTGTGCTTCAGGCAGTCTCTGCCCCATAACTTCAGCCCAATCTATGGGGAAATTCCCAAACTTTTATGTCCAGCACAGATTTCTCCATAGTCTTAAGGCCCAATTTTTTTTTTTTTTTTTTTTTGCGGTACGTGGGCCTCTCACTGTTGTGGCCTCTCCCGTTGCGGAGCACAGGCTCTGGACGCGCAGGCTCAGCAGCCATGGCTCATGGGCCCAGCCACTCCACGGCATGTGGGATCTTCCCAGACTGGGGCACGAACCCGTGTCCCCTGCATTGGCAGGCAGACTCTCAACCACTGTGCCACCAGGGAAGCCCAAGGCCCAATTTTTAAACCTTTTTATTGAACATTGTCATCAGGGTGTCTTTCAGAAATCTCAGACTCAATATGTGCAAAACTAAATAATTGAGAGGGAGCATAAGGGAGTTTTGGGCTGGTGGTAGAACTTGTTTTTTTGATTGTCATGGTGGTTACACAACTTCGTGTTTTGGTTACAGAATTGTGCACCCAAGAGTGAATTTTATGGTATGTGAAAAAATAAAGCTCAATAAAGAAATCCAAATGAGCATCCCTACTTCCCAAAAAATTACCTAAATCGTTCATCAGCTTCACTTCTCTTTGTAATCCTAATACACATTAGACTTGGTGACACATTATAAGAACTTATTAGTTGGATGGATGGATGATTAAGATAAACATATTGACTGAAGGCTCCTTGGTCTTATAGTTTAAGAAACAAAAATGTTAGGCATGACCAGATTTATTAATACATCAGAGGAAAAAAAACCCCACATATTTTTATGTGATAATTTATGATTTGGTTAATGTTTTTAATATGTAACAATGATTATGCCATTTAAGAATATAATAAATGAAGCTAAATACAGGCAGTTTTTGATATGCCAAGGGATTATGTTCTAAAAGTTGCTGTAAATCAATTCTTACACTTGAAAATCAACATACATTTTCTTGTTAAAGCAATAATCTATATGATGAATAGTGAGCACCCTTCTGTGGCCTGGGTTAGGTTGTAATTAGGCTAGTATTCCCAGATTCGTTCTTCCCCCATCCCCAACTTCTATAAGAACAGTGACAACTACTCATATTCAACATGTGATCAGAATTTGGGAGAAATGTTCACAACTCCAAATTCAGCACTCACTTGAGACTCACAATCAGTGGCATATGCAATTTTACCTTTTTGAAAAGTGTTCTACTGTAGGAAGACATTTTGTTACTTCCTTGCTATCTGCCATTTGGCTCTGAAAGACAGACACATTTGTAACACCTTAGAATAGTTTGCCTCCTGCTACATGGTTGAAGCACTTAAAAGACAGTCTTTTTCCCTTCTCATCAATCCCTATTATTATTTATTCATATTTATTCTGAGACTGCAACTCCCAGAAAAGATATCAAAGAAAGTAGAGGGATGGACTAGCAATGGTTTGTTGTATTACAGATCTATATAGTTCACATGGTAATAATGTTATACACAGGTAGAGAGATAGGAACACCTTCAGATTTGTAGATACTAAAGATTATATTATTTTTCCAGTACTCTATCATATGTTCAGAGTGACAGAGAACCAAGTAGTACATTATAAAAGTACATCTCAGTCTACTAGTGCCTTGCTAGAAAAATGCTTGCTAGAATACTGGAAATTAGATTGAACATTAACTTAGTCTCCACCTAGCAATTAAACAGAATCATTCTATCAACATGCATGGTATGACTAAGAGCAGTCTCACAACAATTTATGTTAAATATTAAATCCTCTCGAGAACTCCTCTTGTTTTAGGATAAATTAAAAGTACCAGTGAAATCATATGGCACAAGGGAAAAGTAACCCTGCCCTGAAGACTCGTAAAGAAAATACCCGTGAAAAAATGTTTCATTAAAGGAAACAGAAGAAAATTGTACAAAGCATTTGCTTTGCAGTCTATGAAAAAGAAATAGTCATGAGGAGAGAACAATTTGAGGTGAAAGGGAGGTAGTTAAGGATACACTGCCAGAAAATGAAAAATATAAAGTCAGAAATAAAATCTATATTGAAAGCAGTAGAGAGCAGAATTAACAGTACAGAAAATCTCATCAATGATATGTAGGTTAAACCCTAGAAGCATCTAGCATAGAAAAATAAAACATTTCTAAAGGAGGAGATAATACATAAAGGAATAGAAATGAAGACCCTATTTCACAAATTCCTGGGGGGAAAATACAGAACAAATGGAAATCTAAAGGAAGAAAATTACATAACCTTAGTGAGATATATAAAAGATTTGAATGTGTTGAGAGGCTTACCATGTTTCTGGATATAAAGACATGGAGATGTGAATTCAAAGGTATAGAAGAAAATATTCTTGAGTTGCCAAACACACCTGTTTATGCAGATTAAAGAGGCTCACATCTTTGAAAATATTTGAAAAATATTTTCAAACAGGCATATGAAGGAAGTATTTTTGTAATTACAAGAGTAAAGAAAAAGTCCTCTAACCATTCTTTATAGAACTATAAAAATTGTTTAATATTAGGTGCCATATTAATGTGTTGCATATGTCAAAAGAGAAAAAATAACAATTTCAATAGATTCTAAAAAGGCATTTGATAACATTCAATGCCCATATCTAGTTTTCCAAAAAGTCTTATGAATAGTTATATGAGCATATGTCCTTTACATAACAAAAAATATTTTAAACCAAGATCCAACATCATAATGAAGTGCTAGAGGTATTCTCTTTAAAATAAAGAACAAGACAAAAATATTTCCTACTTTGTTTTAGATGTTTTCAACAATGCAACAGATGTGAAAGTAAAACAAGAAATATAACTATTGAAAAGGAAAAGACATTGAACATAATATGATTATATACAAGCTATCAGTTTCTGACTTATTTAACCAAAGATACAGAAGTTAAGAGAAAGGATATGAATATATTGAGAGTAGGAGTAGATGCAGCATCTATTTCCATATTTTTCTTAAGTTCTTTTTTCTCTGTATGAGTGGGAGGCACCTGTTGGAGTAGAAAAAGGGGCCCATTTCTTGCTCTGCCCCTGCCGTCTTACACTGGGCTTACATCTCCATTTCAGAAGAAAGTACACCAACAGTCCATGTGCTTCTATTCTCTAATAAGAGAATATTTATAAACATTCTCTTGGTTTTTGAAATAAACTTAGCACTAGCAAGACCACATCCTCCTTAGGGTAGGGGGAGAAAGCAGTCAGTGCCCAGGAATTCCCAAACAGTACCTCTCTCTCCAGCTCTATAATGTTCCAGGAAGCTCATTTTCCTTAGAAAAACATCTCAAAAAATGCCAGATGCACAATAAATATGTAAAACTCAGTAGTTTTCTTATATGCTGTCAATAATTATTTAGAAGATATAATGAGGGAAAATTCCATTTACACTAGTGAACAAAATTATTACTAGACCTAATCTTAAGAAGAAAAGCATGACTTTACAGGTACAAGAATAAAATTTACTGTGGAATAGGAAAGAAAATGTGAGTAAAAGAAGAGATAAGCATGTTTCTGGGAGGTAATAAATCATACAAGAAGTTATATCTTCTGAAAGTAATGTTTTGATTCAGCTTTGCAAGCACAATCCTAAAGTTCTGTTGAAAGAACAAATACATGAGAACAAATAACATTTGAAAACAAAAAATAAAGTGGAAGGACTTGCCCCACCAGATATAAAAAGTAATCGTAAAATTGCAATAAGTAAAGCAATGTAGTACTGATGTGAGAATGACAGCCAGATCAGTAGGAAAGGAAAGGCAGATGGGGCTGAAACAAAATCTTAGCATATATATGAAATACATGATAAAGGATGCACAGAAAATCAACAGAATGACCAAACTATCCAATGATTGGGTGTTGGGAAGGTGATTAGCTACCTTGAAAAAATCAAGTTATGCCTAAATATGAATATTGTTTATTTTCTCCTGTATCCTTTTGAAATTTTTTATAATCATGGAGAAAAGTTATAAACAATATTTCTAGGGTATTCCACAGAAGCCCATCCAATATAGGGATTAAAGCGATGAGAAAAGCTCTGGGGGAGGTCTGAGCTCTATTCCTGATTCTGCCTCTATCTAGTTGTGTAATAAGTTATTTCATCATTGAGTCATTTTTACTAGTCTTGAAGGATTTGAATTTTATTTTCTCCAATTTCCCATTCTTGTCTAAAATTCCATGTTCTGAAGTATGAAAGTATCAAATCTAACTACCATGCAGTACAACATCTATGTAGGGAATTGTAGCATGAAATCTAGAGTTGGAGTGTCTGTTCTAGGCTTGGTTCCAACACTTACTAGCTATATGATCTTTGGGAAGTTTTTCATCCTCTCTCTTTTGCATCCTCATTCTCAGTGACTAGACAAGTCACTGAGCCAGCTATAAAATTAGGATAATTAAGCAATTTCTCCTATTTCTTAATTTCTTAGCCTTGGAGAAAGGAACCCATTGTATTTAGGGAATTGTTTTGTCTGCTGGATTCTAATATTTATTTTAAATTAATTTCAGATTCTTTTAGTGACCACTATACTCACTTTGAAAGAGTTGTGAAGGCTCTTCTGATCAATGCTCTAGATGAATCTTTTCTGGGAACATTATATGGTAAGTTAATAATATGAATGGAAGAATCAGGGGTTTTTTTTTCCCAATTTTTAAACAGCCTCATTGTTCTATATGTATATATGTGTGTGTGTGTGTATAAACAGAACAACAGAGACCCAATCTTAAGGCCCTCCAGTTGTTCCCTCTAGTATCAACTACACCAAAAGTCCATTCACATGAAAAACTTGTTAGTGTTTATTATTTGTGATACGTGAAAGTACAATAGAAATAGTTTCCATGCCCTTTGAGAGTTCACAGTGAACTTGAGGATACAAAACATATACTAATTAAACAGCAGGGTAATTCAACACCCATGTGTTGTCCCAGCCTAAGCGCTATGCTCCTTGAATTTCACCAAAAGTTATATGCTTTTTTTATGCTTTTGTGCCTCGTTGTTTCTCGTTAGAGTATAATCCTTTCCTACCTTAGATTTTCTAAGTGAGTATGAAATCATTTCCATTATGAAAGCTATCTGTGACCCATTCAAATAACATTTGTCACTCCCTCATTTGTGCTATCATTATCCTGAGTGTGGTGGCACTGATGTATATGCACTTTTCATATATATTGAAAATGTATTTTTGCTTTCCTCCCTTTCAAGAGTGTGAGAACCATACTTTCTATATACACACCCCTTGTATCTAGCACAGAATCTGGCTCTTAATAAAGACAATAAATATGTTGTGCTGAATGTCTACCAAAGTGCCAGAGTAAGATTTCATTCTGACTGTATTGAACAAATATTTGTTGAGTGCCCACTAAGGGCCAGGCATTATTTGAGGGCTAGGAATATGGCAATGACTATGACATGGAAGATTCTTGCCTCATGTTGCATAAAGTCTAATGGGAGAGACAGCAATGAGTAAACAAATATATAACATGATATGATTTCACCTAAGGGATTAATTCTTGAAAAAATATAAAATAGGAAAAGGAAATCAAGAGTGATAAAGGAAAGGAAACTCTGTGTTAGTTAGATTGGTCAAAGAAGGTCTCCCAAGAGGTATCTTTTGAACAGAAACCTGAATGAAGTGAGGGAGGAAGCAATGCATGGATCTAGCAGAGAGCACAGCAAGTGTAAAGACCCTTAGAAAAGAGTAAGTTTGATGTGTTCAAGGAACAATTAGAGAGCCTGTGTGGCTCCTTCCTTTCCCTAATGCTCTGATGGAAGGATTTTCTTTAACTTCATTAATTTTTTTTAAATTTAAAATGTTTCTAACCAACCAAGCAAGTTATCTTCTTAAAAATATGGGAAGAAATCTTTATGCAATTATTTAAACATTTTATTCAGGCAAAGTGCTTGGTGTTGTTGTTGTTGTTGTTATTATTCCCCTGAACAGATGGCACCAGGCAAAAATCATATGCACAAGATATGTTGACATCTCTTCATTATTTGGATAACCGCTTTGTTCAGCCTCGTCTAGAGAACTTAGTCTCTAGAAGTCGTTGGAAAGAGCAATATAAGGTATACAGTTTTATTTGTTTTTGAATCTGTGGTCGGGGGATGGGGTGGGGTTGGAGTGGGAGACCTCCCCACTCCAGTCCTTCAATAACCAGTCACACTGAATAATCTTCTAAATTATTAACAATTTTCTTTGTTAAATCATCAGCTTGTTGTTTCTCATCTCTTCTAAAGGCTATAATTGTTTTAGTCTTTCACACTTGTTATATCTATCCAATAATTAAGTAGTCCTAAATGGTAAATTTAGAACATCTCTAAGGCTTAGCCCATCTGTTAAAATGAGGAGATTGTCTCACAGGATGTTAATTATTTCAGAAAAGAGAGTTTCATTGTTAAAGAAGGTTGAGAAACAGTAGGGTTAACTTAACTGGAGGACTTTCAAGGAGCATTAATGTGTGAATTTATACTGTAAATCTTCAAGAGGGCAATGTAGAATATAATACTTTTCAAATTTGTGTTTTACTATGAGGCTTCTTTTCATGAAATACCTATTATTACCTTCTAGGATATTGGTTCCCATAACTTAATTAGGGAAACACTGACCTATGTAGTCTTTGACATCCTTCTCCACCTTAAGATTTTGTAGTTCTACCAATTTTGGGAAACATCTTTTTAATTTATAAGATATATTTGATTCCATGTTATCACCTAGATTTCTATTTTATGATCTCTAATAGTAGAGGCTGTACTATATGATTTTTAAGTCTTTTCTTCCTCCCAACTTCTAACGTTGTAGCTTCTAATAATTAGCAAGAGGAAAATGGTAAGATAGTAGAAGTTCAAGTTCCTTATAGTCCTTCTAGCACTTAAATCATTAGCTACTCTACCTCATTTATGTCAGGAGATTTGGCTTCATCCAAGGCCTGTGTGGCTTGAATTACCTGATGATAAATTAGCCACAGATGGATTAGGTTTAAGGACAGTTATGGGATTATAAAAAAAGAATTAAAAGACTTCAATTTGGAGGATAGCTTGAGTTTAGGGCCACCATATATATCTTTTTGACTTTGGGTGATTTTTTAACTTTTGTAAATTCCAGTTTCTTCCTCAGATAGAGGAAATATTTATTTACTTTTAAGGTAAAGGACATAGCATAGCTCTTAGGATGTGGTATATATACTTTTGTCTTTAATAGAACAATAGCATATTGACCATTTAATTTTCCCAAGTAACTGATATGCAAAGTAAGGTATCTTATTTGATCTTTAGAGTAACCCCTCAAGGAATGTACTATTATTTCCTCCATTTTAGAGATGAGAAAATTGTGACTCAGAAAAATTGAGTAACATAAGGTTACACAGCTAGTAATTAGCCAGGCAGGCCAATATTTGAACCTAGAAACCTTAGGTGTAGGGTTTCTCAGACTTCAAAGCCCATCCATTCTGCTATATTATGCTTAACTATACTATGGTAGGTTATGTTGAGTTTGGATAACCCAATGTTGAAATAATAACTGTAATATACAAGAAAATATTAGCTTAAAAATTTAGAGACAGAGATGATTCAGTACGATCTTGGTCAGGTTATGCTGCAAAAAATATGTGACAAACAAAGTAAACCAACAACGAAAATCTCAATAGCTTAACCCAACAAAGTTTATTTTTCACTTATATGTTCAGTGTGAGTCAATAAGGGTGCTCTGTTTATTGTAGTCACTCAGAGAACCAAGCTGATAGACCTTTCATCTCAGCATGTGCTTCTGTGAATACCAGAGAAGCAGGAAGGGAAGATGGTTAGTCATCTATTAACTCTGAATGTCAGCCTGTAAGTGACATGTGTCATGAAGTACCATGAAATATGAGAAACAGTAAAAAGTAGACAAAAGACAATGTCTTTGTGAATCATACAATGTAAAAAGGAAACTATATTGGATACTTAATTACTGCCAGGCTGATAGAGAGTGCAGTTTAGTGACCCTGCTAATATGCTCATTGTGTGCAGTTCAGATATTGTGGTAAACTGATCCACGCTACTAATTACAGCAGTAGTATCTAGCACAGGCCTAGAGCATAAGCAAAACTACTCAAGCACAAGTAATTTCACAGCCTAATAAAGCTTATTTATGAATACCAAATATTTTCTCAGTTTGTTTACTCATTGCTAACTCACCTATTAGACTGGTGACCTAGAAATCCTAGTTCAAACTTGTTTATTTTCCTAGTACTTTAGTAAGAAACCAAAGGAGAATTAAATTATTTCTGGGATATTTTGTGGAAAATATAATTCATACAATGGAGACTGAATGTGATCTTGTTTTTTCTTAATTTTTTACTAACCTAAATGAATTTAATCATTTTATTATATTATTCTGAATTTTTTCTGCTCATTCTTTCCTGTTTTAACTAAGTATTATATCTGGAGATGAGAAGAGGGAAAAGAAGTAAATCAAAACCTGTGAACATCACTGCTTAATAGTAACAAAAGTTTGAGCGATATGAAACTAATCCTTTTCCTAATCTGGTTTCTTTTCATTTACTAGCCTAAATTATAAATTCACTTTTAAAATTTAAATATATCTTGTGCTCAGTACTAAAGTAAGAAATACCAGTGTGTTTTGCTCTTACATCTTGCCCTATCATTGTGATTTCTAACCTTGATTTTAATTTGGTTGGGCTCTTTTTATGTTTTATTTTATTGTTGTTTTTCTTATCCTTTAAACCTTCATTACATTTTGAAATTATTTTCAGGAGCGAGTAGAAAATTATTCTAATGTAAGTATCCATTTGAAGAATCCTGAGAACTGTTCCTGCCAGGCTTGTGGATTGCATCGCCACTGTAGATATTCGGTGCATTTATCAGGAAAGTTATATAACACCAGGACTATGGAAATAGATGATTTCATGTCACGTGATAAACAGGTATTTTTTCCCTTCATTTTAGTTCTCAACATTTAGAAATTTTCACTAAATAAGCCTGCACAAGTAACCCTAAGTTATTTTCACAAATGGAGAAAGCACCAGGAGAAGGAAAAAGAATACAAGGAAAGAGTGTGCAATTTTTGAATGTGAAAAATATGTGTTATATAGCAGATTCACTCCAAATTCAGTCAGATACTGCAATAGTGCATACTGTCTAAGTATACATCACCCAAACTGCAGGGGAGAGGGGAGAGGGTATAGGATGAGGATGAAAAGGGAGGTAACTGGGGCAGGGGAAGCAGAGTCCTTTTGGAGTCCAAAGGAGAATTTGACCCCAATGGAAATTTTAGGGCAGATAATCTACCAAATTGACAATCCACAGACAGACAGGCCTATTCACCTCAATATGAGATTTGAAGGAAAATTGTGCTTCAGCCTAGACTACATCAGAAGTGTTTCAGAGCCTAGAGCAATCACCATATATTTAAGGTGCTGTTAATTTTGAATGAATAGACAAAACAGAAGAAAATGTTTGAAATATTTGAAGAAATGTATTTGATAAACAAGAACAGAGAAATGCAATGTGAAGAAAGAAAAAGTGCAAATGCTTACTACTTCTTTTTTTAAATCTTTGTAAAACTGTTGCACTTATAAATGCAAAAATATTAATATTGAGATCTCCCTCTGGAATTCCCTCTATGGATTCCGCATCCACTGATACAGAGGACCGACTGTGTATTTATTGAAAAAAAACCCTGTCTATGTGGACCTGTGCAGTTCAAACCCTAGTTGTTTAAGGGTTGACTGTACTATGTTTATACCTGCAGTTGGTTAAATCTGCAGAGAGGATTCCGCAGATATGGAGGCCCGACTGTGGGACTTGAGCATCTGCAGATTTTGGTATCAGGGAGGGTTCTGGAACCAATCCCCTGCGGCTACTGAGGAGTGACTGTAGTTTTAGTTACAGCAGTCTTGGGTAGGGTACTGAGATGAGAGGCATTGGACCACCAGGTTATGGTAAAGTCTGAGAGCATGGATGAGAAGGAAATCACCTAGAGGAAAAAGATGTGAAATCTGAAAGGCAGTTAGGAGGACTGAAAACAGTCAGTTTTTCAGTTTTGCCCAGAGTCTGTCCAGACTCCTCAAGATGCTTAAGAACCAGTGGGAGGAGGCAGTAATTTTGAGGCAAGTGGCAAGGTGTAATGCATCCACGCAAAGAACAGGCCAAGAGGAAAGAGAATCCCTTGACTCAGTCTATTGCACTAAATGTTCCTAGAGACCTAGGAACAAAAACCAAACTTCTTCCCATCCTTCCTCTTTCCTTGAGGATCTTTTTTCTTTCTTCTCCATACTTTAATTTCCTTAAGAAGCTGGCTGCTCCTCTGTATTTGAGGGCCTAGAGAAATACCTCAAAAATCTACCTACAGTGAGCTGGATATTATAGATGTGCGTAATGCATGTTTCATTATATTTCCTTGCTTTAATTTGTTAAACTGTTAATTTACATTTCTACATGCTGTATCTAATAAATTACAAATCAGATTATTTCTGTTGCCTTGCAATCACCATCTTCTGCTTTAGGAGAATTTGCTGACAGTTTTTACCTTTGTTTCCAATTATATCTTTGGATATGTAGGGTACCTTAGTTCACACTGGTAACTGAGATAGTTATCTTCAGATATATCAGTTCATAGAACTATGTTAACCCTGCACAGTGGATTAGTAATCATTTATATGTCACTTTGCTTATCTGCTTTAAGATAATCATCACAGAACTTATCATTTCTCTCTCTCTCTGGCAAGTTTTTTAATACTGCCTATCTCGTTAGACTAATGTCCTTCTTTTTTTCTTTTCTTTTTTTTTTTTTTTTGGCTGTGCTGCGCAGCTTGTGGGATCTTAGTTCCCTGACGAGGGATTGAACTTGGGCCCTCGGCAGTGAAAGTGCCGAGTCCTAACCACTGGACCACCAGGGAATTCCCTGGAATAGTGTCCTTAATGTTTAGAAATGCAATTAGTTAATAAAAAGTACTCTCTGAATACATTTCTGGACATTTAAGGACACTATTCTAACAGCATAGATTGATTTTACTTGTTTTTAGTACTTAATATAAATGGCATGCTACAATGTAAGCTGTGTTGTACTGTATACATTAATTCATAAGGTATAGTGGGCTATAACAATACAGTAAAACGGGTGGGGTGAAAGGAGAGGTCCACTTGCAGTGTATGCAACTACTATATACATTTACTGTTTACATTTACTGTTTTCTATGAAGCCTTACTAACAATGGTTTAGGCTCTTCCATATAAAATGTGATCACATTTGGGAAAAAAATAGTGTGAGAATATTCTAAAGGTAATTTTGGGTTTATTGACCTCCATAAGTGTAAGGTAGACACCAAGAAGGTAGGAATTAGAAATGGAAAGGAGTAAATTATAATGTTTAATATTTTCAGTGGATATTTTTATTTCATAGAGAAAAAGAGATTTTTAAACACCTCTCCTTCCCTTTTGTCCCAACTTAAAAATTCTATATAGGGGCTTCCCTGGTGGTGCAGTGGTTGAGAGTCCGCCTGCCGATGCAGGGGACACGGG